TCCAATCACAAACAAGAAGTGTTCTCCCTAAGGAATACCCTTTCCGTCCAATGTGAAATGCTGTGGTGTTTTCTGAAATGCTGTGGCGTTTTCTGAAATGCTGTGGCGTTTTCTGAAATGCTGCGGCGTTTTCTGAAATTCTGCGGCGTTTTGTGAAATGCTGTGGCGTTTTCTGAAATGCTGTAGCGTTTTCTGAAATGCTGTAGCATTTTCTGAAATGCTGTTTTGTTTTGTAAAATGCTGTGGTGTCTTGAACTTCAGGGCCACCGTAATATTATTTGTATAGTTAGCTACATTCATTCAGAAAGAAACATTATATGTGATAAATTCTTGATATAAATTTTTCGATAAAATTTGACAGGCTTGTTTGTTTCTTGCAGCCCGAACATTGTTACTGGTTGATAGAAATGCAATTGAATATGCACAGGACACCACACACACACACACACACACACACACACACACACACACACACACACACACACACACACACACACACACACACACACACACACACCTTCCTGGCTGTCAGTGGAAGAAGTGAGCTCACCGTGGCCTGAAGGCTATGCAGACAGGGTATGGTTACACAGACCAAAACACACAGCTCATAATACGTCCACTGCAACTCTAGAGCTGACGTGCACAGCATCAACATGTTCAGTAATATACATATCTCTAGACAACTGAAGGTATTATAGTCATTGTCATTTTGACTGTACAGTGTATATGCCAGGACATTTGAGACGAATGACAATTGTGTATTACTACCTAACCTTATGTAGGTTCTGTCACAATGGGGCGCTTTCTGTGGTTTCTTGTCAAAACTATTTGACCAGTATTCTTTTCATTCATTCCATCCGTCCATGGGTGCAATTGAAGTGCACAATATCTGTGATAGCTGCCTAATAATTAGTGGTGGAAAAATTAGTAAGACATTTAACTTAAGTGAAAGTAGCACAACTACAGTGTGACAATACTGATAGTGATACCCCTTCTAAAGCAGGACCAGTGCCTGTTTGCGAATAAAGTTTTCCGGTTTCAACTGCAGTGGCCCTGGCTCTAAGCTCCAAAAACTGGTTCCATTAAACTATTTGCTCAACTGCGTAAATTGGAGGCTAGGACGGGATTTACGAAGACACAACAGTTCACAGCAAGAAAGTTGGAGAAGCAGTAGAGTGAGATCGGAAAATGGCTAGAACACAACCAGACATATATTTAAAAATGTCATGGAACATTAACCAAGCATACATGGGACATATCATTATTTTTCACTATGACTATCCTTTTGCTATCATTGTTGCGTTAACAGCGGAATTCACTCCCGCTTCACATGAAACAATCCTTCATTTAGGGTGCTATGCATTGTCAATTAAAACTGAAAAAAAACCTACATTTTTGGTGAAATATGCATCAAGGGGTGTTACTGCTGTGACAGTCTAACCGTAAATTACTTATTCCAAGAAGCAGCTAGGGTTAGGAAAAGGTAGGTTGAACACCGGTGGAACATGAGCAGCATACCACTCTAGCGGTCAGATAAATCCACTGTCGCATACTAAAAGCCATGTTACTAGTACTCTTTGGAGTACAACGTTGGAGAAGTCATTCTTGCAATTCAATCTGGCTTCACAAGTTCAACCAACTCCAAATAAAACTAGCCCTAGAACAGAACTCAACTCAGTGGAAGAGGGGTGTGAGGAGCTCTTAAAGATCTCCTATCATGCTATTTTTAGGCATATATTATGAGTCTCAGATATATATATATATATATATTAGGGATGCACCGAATATTCGGCCGCCAAAAATTATCGGNCACATCACTGAGGACCTGACATGGACTCTTCACTGAGGACCTGACATGGAGAAGAAGAGCCGCTGTCCAGCTGTTTTGGTGATAGTGTTTGTGTGAAGAGTCCATGTCAGGTCCTCAGTGAAGAGTCCATGTCAGGTCCTCAGTGATGTGGACACCGAGGAATATGTGTTCCTCTGGTCCAGGTGTGAGAGGGCAGTGTGGATGGTGAGGGCTATGGCGTCGTCTGTAGACCTGTTTGCTCTGTAGGCAAACTGCAGGGGGTCCAGGGAGTCAGGGAGGGAGGAGGTGATGAAGGTTTTGATTAACCGCTCAAAGCACTTCATTATGATGGAGGTGAGTGCTACTGGGCGGTAGTCGTTGAGGCTGGTGATCTTTGTCTTTTCGAGGACAGGAACATGTGGGGACTACAGACTGCAGCAGGGACCTGTTGAAGATGTCTGTGAACACCTCTGCCAGCTGAACTGCACACACTAAAACAAAGACTGGGATATAGTTTCAAGTCAGTACTTTCGACAGAAACACACGGCAATGTTGTCCGGACTGTTGTTTTTATGCGGCACCGGCTTGAACAGGTCATGTGATCTGATCACGCCGGCGTGACGGTCGACTCCAAAGGGTTAATATTACATACATATAAGTATTGTTACAACTTGTATTTAGNTACTTTCGACAGAAACACACGGCAATGTTGTCCGGACTGTTGTTTTTATGCGGCACCGGCTTGAACAGGTCATGTGATCTGATCACGCCGGCGTGACGGTCGACTCCAAAGGGATAACAGGTATCAACTCTATAATAAAATAATATATATATATCAATAACTATAACTTTGGGGCCTTTTCTACAAGGTTTCCTATTAAATGTAGTGGAGAAGATTTGCAAATATGCAAATGCAGCACCTAAGGCCTCTCTGTTACTCAAAATAGAATTCCAAATGATATATTTTCCATGCAGATGTATTCCCTACATTATCACTATATTTTCTTTCAATAACTACAGAGATATATGAGCCCTCATTTTTGCTTAAGTGCTAAACTGACACACATAGAGACTCTTGCATAGCCAGACACTTCCATAATCTGGCATCAAGGACCCACATGCAGATAGAGATCACTCCATGGGTCTGCGATACGAGTGACCTAAAGCAACCCATGCAATAACATTGTTTAAGTTTTGTATAGAATTTCACATCTGTCTGCACTGTAGATGGAGACTGTGTTATGGGATTCAAGAACAATTATATACTATATACTAATTTTTGGTCTTAAATGATAAGAAGTCACTGGATAGATTAAACTAGTTTATTACATCAGAACGTTTAAAACAAAAATAGTGGTAAAAAGTCCACGGGTTTCATTGATGTTTTCACAGCCTTTGATCGTGCTCATAGAGAGTTGTTTGTGAAATTATGTATGCAAATACTCTTGTGGTTGTTTTGTAGTGCTGGTCTCCAGCAGCTTTGTTGTATTGACATCAAATACAATGCCAGTAACAGTGTTGTCATAATTTTCCAAATGACACACATGTCTAAAATATCCTGGCTTTAATTTGTCTGAAAATAATCTGCACCATGATGTATGCTCAAACATACATTACGTTATGTGCGTTTACAAGAAGTGAAGTTGTCTTTGTTCAGAGCATATTGCACACAAAATGCACTGTGATTATCCAGATGGTGCATTCATAACGTTCGAAAAATGTGAGTGTGTTGAATGCTACTCAAACTCAGCAACCGCCATCTTTGCTATGAAGATGAACAGGTGAACAGAGCAATATACAATTAAAAGCTATACATGTGCTTTTTCCTGTATTTAATACATGTAGCACTTAGCCAGTAAGGTAAAGAAGGCATCATCATTTAATTGGGTTAATTGAGCAGTCTGTCATTATTTGCTACCACGAATGATAACAATGCTGGCTAGTTAGCTAGCCAACAGCAAGTGTTTACACTGCACAATATGGAAGCGTACTAACACGCTTTCGAATTGAGACACAACATAGTACAACTTTAGGCTTGTGAAGTAACGGAATACATGTTACAGAATTGCAATAAGGAACTGTATTACCTTAGTTACATAAAAAAAATCATTTAATAACAAAAAATATGCTTTCGGTGGACACCTGATGTTAAAAACTAAAATACTGTATTTGCTGTCTTTTTCATGTATTGCATTTATACAGGATTTGTAAACACTACTATTCCATAGGCCTGGTCTATAATTTGGTTTAGATTCCTACCTTGTGCCTATATTCCCTTTTTGCTCAAATGTTTTCTTTTTGGGAGTTCAGTAGGTGGACACCTTATTTGTTTGTTTTTCTCCACATAAGAGCATACCATATTTCTTGTAAAAGAGGCAGATTTAAATTCTACTTTGTGAGCTATATTGTACGGTGGCCCTGAAGTGCAAGACACCACAGCATTTCAGAAAACACCACAGCATTTCACAAAACGCTACAGCATTTCACAAAACACAACAGCATTTCACAAAACGCCGCAGCATTTCACAAAGCGCCACAGCATTTCACAAAACACAACAGCATTTCACAAAACACAACAGCATTTCACAAAACGCCACAGCATTTCAGAAAACGCTACAGCATTTCAGAAAACGCCGCATCATTTCACAAAACGCCACAGCATTTCACAAAACACTACATCATTTCACAAAACGCCACAGCATTTCACAAAACACTACAGCATTTCAGAAAACGCGCATCATTACACAAAACGCACAGCATTTCACATTGGACGGAAAGGGTATTCCTTAGGTAGAACACTTCTTGTTTGTGATTGGACAGAGCCAGCCAGAAAAGCACTGCTGTGATTGGTTGTTTTTGCTGCCAGTCAAGAAATGACGCTTGGCCCAACACATCAGCTGTTAGCTGTTATTAGCACAGACTCAGAGCTCACAGCTCCTCATATCTGTTCAGAAACTGGACAAAAGTTAAATATATACAAAATACAGACTGTCTATTTCATGGCGAATACAGTCGCTGCTTTATTTATGTCTGTATGACGTTGTTGTGAGTGTGGACGGAGCAGCTACAGGTTAGTTTAGCCTGATGGATCCGATCCCGATAGGATTTACATGGAGATACGCCCCGCCCCCTCTCCAGCGTCTTGTTTGAATGACAGCAGTAAACACAAAATGAATGCTTTATTAATTCATGGTTTTTAAGGGGCTTATCTCCATGTAAACACTATGGTAGACTACCCAATATTCGCATCGCTCTAATCGCTCGAGTTTCACCGCGGCTGTCAGCTGTGTTTGCTCCTGTCATTCAAACAAGACGCGCTGGAGAGGGGGCGGGGCGTATCTCCATGTAAATCCTATGGGAGATACCAACTACAACAAAATGAACATATTTGAGCGTGATTTAATTGTAATACACGTTTCAAAGTGATGCCGAAGTAACTACATACTGATAATGGTTAGGAAAAACCATGAATTAACGCTTTGATAAGTCTGCAGACAAGACGGCAGGCGAAAAGCTTTTAAAATGCGTGTTTTCTGAGTGGAATCGGATCCATCAGGCTAAACTAACCTGTAGCTGCTCCGTCCACACTCACGACAACGTCATACAGACATAAATAAAGCAGCGACTGTATTCGCCATGACACAAACAGTCTGTGTTTTGTACATGTTTAACTTTTGTCGAGTTTCTGAACACATATGAGGAGCTACGAGCTAGTGTGTGCAAACGGCTGATGAGTTGGGACATATTGCGCTGTCGGGCGTTGACCAATCACGAAGCCCCATTTCTTGACTGGCAGCAAAAACAACCAATCACAGCAGTGCTTCGCTGGCTCTGTCCAATCACAAACAAGAAGTGTTCTCCCTAAAGGAATACCCTTTCCGTCCAATGTGAAATTCTGAAATGCTGTGGTGTTTTGTGAAATGCTTTGGTGTTTTGTGAAATGCTGTTGTGTTTTGTCAAATGCTGTGGCGTTTTCTGAAATGCTGTGACGTTTTCTGAAATGCTGTGGTGTTTCCTGAAATGCTGTAGCGTTTTGTGAAATGCTGCGGCGTTTTGTGAAATGCTCTAGCGTTTTCTGAAATCCTGTGGTGTTTTGTGAAATGCTGCGGCGTTTTGTGAAATGCTGTAGTGTTTTCTGAAATGCTGTAGCGTTTTCTGAAATGCTGTGTTGTTTTCTGAAATGCTGTAGTGTTTTCTGAAATGCTGTGGTGTCTTGCACTTCAGGGCCATCGTATTACATAGAGATTATAAGACATTGGGCTATTTGAGAGACAACAAAACAGTTACATGTTGTTTTTATTTTGGAGGTAATGTGTAATTAATTAGTTAAAACAAAATGTATTTCTAAATATATAAAATATTACGAAAATAAATGATTAAATATACATAAGGCACCCTGACCCTGAAGTCTTCACTCTAAGGTCTGAAGATCAACACATCTCACCATTTGAGACACACAGATCACAAGTCATCATATGTGGATGAGCAATGGCAAAACATGACATGCTCTCCTTTTGGACACAACATGATTTAATGCTCGACATCATGAGAATGGATTATGTGGCATTATCAGATGATATGCTACTGTTGAATATACATTAGTTGTAAAGTAGATCAAAATGTTAAAGGTTAGGGTAAGAAGGCTTTTATTCTGGGTGTACGGCGGCCTTTAGCAAAATGGTATCATGAGAATATAAGGGTATAGCAAATCAGAGAGCTATTAAAACAAATCTATTGTAAAATGTTGTCTGTCATATTTGTTTGTAGAAAGATATTGAAAAATAGTGCAATGTATTTGTTGTCATATGAAAGAGTGAAATAGTCTCTGTGGCATCACCCATTGGTTATTGGCCTATGGTTATAATAATAATATTAATAATTATAATAATAATAATAATAATAATACATGGGACTTTTATAGCGCTCAAAGACGCTTTATACTATGTCATGGTTTTGAAGCCTTGATATTGCTTTGGCCATTGCCATCTTGACATTAAGTCATGTGACCATCATGTACTTCCAATACATAATACATATACAGTATGTGGTTATCACTATGACTAATACTAATACACCACTTTACTGTATATATTGTATTACAATATATTGCAATTTAAAAGTTTATATAATTTGTTTGTATCTATTTTATTTGATCTTAAATTGGACAAGTAACATCTTATGTGTAATAGAAATATATGTACTTAATTGTATCATGTTATTGCACATTCTTATTTTACTCCCTATGTCTATATACACATTTGAAGTATATTTTGTATATTTCATTCACCTGATTTCCCCTAGGATAAATAGAGTAATCTAAACTTCATTCTGATTACATTTAAATAATTGACATAAGTATGTACCATATAAAGGCACCTATCATAAACAGAGAAGCAGAGTGTTTTGGTCATTGGAATAGCACTTAATAGATGTAATGAAATCTCAAAAGTTGATTCAAGGTGAAGTCATACAGAGCCTAAGAACGATTCTGAAGTGTACCACATGAGGGCAGTATTGCTATGCTTTACAAGGACAACAGCTGCAGCAATGCACACACCATGGATGTATAATAAGAACATACACACACACACACACACACTCATATGTACACTTTTGCAAATGACATGTAATCCAAAAGTAATGTACTTGTACAACAATCCATTCAGAACCCTGACCTTTGATGCAATATGTTAAGACCATAGTATTACTTTTGCAAAGAATTTGAGCAATTATTTTCGCTATATAACATTGCATCATAGCAGCCATGTCTGCAGTGTGCTTTTGTGTGACACACACAGAGTCTTACTGTTTGCATGTGAAGGGACATCCCAATGGGACAATGGAATGTTTTATTTTGATCCCTTTCATTTTTTTCATGTACAACGTCCATATTCTGTCAGCTTGTATGTCAGACAGGCTTGTACAAGGCAGGGCTATGTACTACTCTGTGCCCATTTCTCATCGAAAAGTGTGATAACACAACTTAACTTACTTTAATCCACAAAATTAATTCTTGAAATTCAGAATCAGAACACTTTCTTTATCCCACGGGAAATTGGGTAAAACTATGATAAAGGGTGAGCAATAATTCACCTTAGATAAAAACCACTTATACTGCACTATCTACACACAAATCTACACTACAGTCTCTAATGTTCAGCAGTTACATTTAGCTTTGTTTCAATGCGCATGCGCAGCTTGTAGGCTGCCTGCCTGGCAGTGCCATAGCAACCAGGGCAGACATCAACATGGTAAGTGTTTGTGTTTTCCGTTCATTCTTCGTCGTTTTTTCGGATTATATTGCACAATTGTACGACTCCAAGTATGACAACCTACCCGAACATGCAATTATTCATGTCTCAAAGCTCAACCTTACATGCAGCGTTGTTGTCGCTGTTAGCTAATATGGGCTTTAATTAGCTAGGCCTACTTAGCTAACCTTATTGTCAGTTAACCTAACGTTAAAGAACTAGCTAACATCAACTCTGCGCTAAACGTGAGTGTATGTATGTGTCTAATATGCCATTATTCCTAGTTCTAAATGTAATATTCGGAGGACTAACGTTAGGACGTTAGTGTCTACTCATTCAGCATGCCTTTAAAAACCACAAATGAAAATAAGAATAAAAACAGAGTGTGTTAAAAGCCTAACTTAGTTTGATGTAGAGCTGTTCTAATTCTTATACTTTATACTATTATTTGTTCTTGTCATATATCTGTGTATTATATCCCATCTTTTTAAACCAATGTTCACACTGATAAAATGATTTTTTTCTGACCATTTAGTCGTAAGGGTTGGATTAGTTTTTAGGCAATTTGGTTATTGTTTGGTGTTTTTAGCTTGAGATGTTTATGTGTAATACATAAACCCTCTCCAATTCAAGAAGTGTTAGTAACATATTTTGTAAGTATTCTAAGTTTAGCATTCTAAAGCTTTGGATAGCTTATGAGTGTGTCCCAATTCACATCTCCATTCTGTGTCATGATGGTACTTGTATTGTTACCTGTTTGTGAATAAATGAACATATGAATGTAGCCTCTGCCTGTCTAACTGGATGTCATGTTATTTCAGCAGGCCAAAGCAACGACAGTGAGAGAAGCACTGGCTAAGTGGGTGAGTTACATACAGTAAACACGGCTGAAACGCACAGAACGAATATAATGAATGAAATACTGTGTAACAGAATCACTGAACTGTGCTCCAACAATTATGTCGAATCTGGGACTGAAGGAGCATTGTGTAGTTACATGATTGTAGCAAAGTATTTGTAATTGTCTCTTTTGATCTATGTGTGTGTGTGTGTGTGTGTGTGTGTGTGTGTGTGTGTGTGTGTGTGTGTGTGGGTGCGTGTGTGCGCGTGCAGGAGGAAAAGTCAGGGGAGAAAGCGGGTGAGACTAAAGCCGTCAGACTGTATGGTCAGGTTCCTCCTATAGAGAAGATGGACCCCTCCCTCTCTACGCTCACCAACTGCGAGTGAGTACCGCAGAGCTCGACATTATAAATGGCCCGCTGGCCCGGTGTCGGTACCAGATGTGTTCGGGGTACCATATGTGTTCGGGGGCCGTCTCTTACCAATGACGTCACGCATTGTACGCATTGTGATTGGCTGTACGGTAATTTACCCAGGGGTGCTCGGGGGCAAATCACATCTACAGATCATGACGAACCGAATTGAATTATTCCTATGCTCCTAGCGTGTGAACATGTTTGTGAAAAACATGTTAAAAAAACATGAAAACGGAGCAATAACTGTACGCCATTGGCTGTACGGCAACTCAAGAGGACCATCATACACGGTCAAATTCCGAACATTTAAACATAGCCTACACTTCATTCTTTACTTTGTCCGTTATTATATGTAGAAGATGAACTACCTCTCTGAAAGGTCCCAATGTGTTCATTTTGATGGGCTGTCTTCTGAGTGGTTAAACATCACTAATGATTTTCTGACTTCTGACTGCTTTGGATATATAATTACACCACAATAAGGTTTTACTATCACAGTGCACTGAGATTTGTGACAAACTGTAAAGCACTTACGCATCACTGTACACTGTAAACCAAGGCGGTTTTGCCATCACTTACTGTACTGAGGCTCAGTCACTGGTACATTTTCATTTACAAAGCCATGTTGGATAAAGTACCATCTTATATCTGCTCCCTGATCTCTCGGCAAATTGAAAGTACTTTTTGCCTGAGATCTCATGCTGTGGTTTTATTAAATGTGCCAAGTGCTAGGACTGTCTTAGGGAAGAAAGCTTTTAGATGTGCAGCTCCACTAACTTGGAAAAGTCTGCAAAAAGAATGGAAAATTACCAAGCTGGTACCACTACATGTTTTTAAAGCTCGGTTGGATGCTCCACAGTCAGATGCTGTTGGTACCTGAACATGTGGATAGATATGTAAATTGTAATCCCTGTAATTTTTGCTGTATGATGTCCTTTGGTTGTTCTGTTGTTTATGTTTTTATGTCTTCATGTGGAACCTACTGCTGCAGGTCTCCCTTGAAAAATAGATCATTGATCTCAATGGGATTTTACCTGGATAAATCAAGGTTTTGAATTGAATGACGAGCTTTAACTGCAAGTCACTCAAATGCATAAACTGGAGAATAATTATGTTACAAGTGTTACAGAAAACATATCCAAGTGTAACAAACATCCAGTATTAACCTTACTATTTTTTTACTAACAGTAACCAACTAATAATTTTCATAAAGTGCATATTTATTCCAAACTCACTATATATATATATATATGTAATAAAACATAATGCACAATGGTACACAGTATCCAAACTCTTTAGGCACTGGTCAGAGGCATTCATGTAAAGCAGATCACCAGAATCCAATACTGGTAAAAACGTTGCAGAGATCAAATGTTCCCTTGTCTGAAAGGAGAAACCTAATTTTAAAACAACATTTTCAGTGTGTGACTTGAAAGATAAGTTCTGATCAATAATAAAACCTAGATATGTGTATGTAGTGACCCTTTCAATGTCAATGTCAGTCCCTTGAACAGTACAAAATAATGTTGGGGAGAAAAGAAGTTAACTTTTTGCCATTTGAGAATATCATGAGTTTGGAGTTGTCTGCATTTAATATTAACTTGAGTTGACCTACGCAAGTGCCCATCTACTGCAGTACTCAGTCGTCGTAACACTAACGCACATGCCCCATTAAATGGGTGGGACAGCATCTTGTCCACCAGGCTGGGTCGGACAACAATCGGGTTCTAGCTGGCCTGGAGCCGGTCCCTCTTCCGCCTAGAAATGGATAAACGTTCTTAACTCACTTTATTCTGCACGGGTCCTGTGCACTGTAAGGTTCAACTCCGAGAAAATATGAATCCGACTTAAAATAGGCTTAATGGCAGGTTAACTTCCGAAGTATTTAGTCGAGTGCCGTATTATCGTCCCATTCACGCATAGAACCCCCGCCTAGGAGGGGGAGATCCCCCCAGAGTGAGCAGGAGATCCCCCCAGGCCCCCCTACGAGGGGCCATTCTCTAGATATAAATTGCTACATAACTTCCACCTTCCGTAGTTAGCAGACTATCGTGGGAACTCGGACGTTATACACGCCTAGAATACACTCATGGAGCAGTGTGGGTATACTGTGTCTTGGACATTACTTGTCTAAAGAAAGAATGCCTATATTAACATGTTTAGTGAGGGGAAAACTTTCGACATAAAAACAAATGATACTTTTAGGTAACTAACATAACCATTGTAGTTAATAGACAAAACCTAAGTCAAACTTCCTGAGAACCTAACAAACTATATGTGATATCTCACTACTATACCTTCCACACGGCCCTTTATAGACGAACTTAGTAAACCTGTTGCGCACAGATTAGTGAGTCCTCAGGATATCGAGTGGACTCGGCAGGCAGTTAGAGTGTCCAACTCTCCTGAGAGCAGAGTCGACAACACCTTTCTCCAGGAATACAGGCATGAATCAATCCGAGATCGTCTCGATTAGTCTAGTCCATTGTATCGTCGCAGACCAGTGGCGACCGTCGTGGACTAGGGTAGAGTAGAGGGATGGAGACCTACAAGCTCTGTTGATGTCGATTTTAAGTATGCTGTCAATAGATGTGAGTGGTACTAGGCTCACGACATTACTGTAGTTTCGTTTGCATCTCATAAAGGACTGGAGCGAGACTAACCACACACAGAATGGAGTGTCGCAAGTCACGTGTGCACTTAATTGTCAAGGTACGCCACTGAGAACTTCCAGTACTACTCCAAGTGCATTTCGTGCCAATTACATAAATATAATAAACTCTCACGAGTTATATATTCATTAGTTCACTGGTGGACGATTGCCACAGCACCTCCACACGCCCCACCTAGGACTCAATCTAGATTGTTTGCCTACAAAGTGTCGTAATAGTAAAAGTCATTAACACGACAAGAAACCAATGGAATAATACTATGCCAGGCATGGTCTAGATGGGCGGGGTGACTGCAGTGCTGCATTACTGCAGTTACTGCAGTGCGTAACACTAACCGACTGCAGTAAATGGGTGCACAGATCTCATATCTCCAAAAAAACTAGTAATGTAATGTAACGTAAAATCGACTGCGAATTCACGTAAGCTGGTTGTTCTATTTTTGAACTCTTTATGTTATTTTGAACTTCTTTTTGGTTCTGCTTACTCCTCTTCTTGTTCTCTTTAGCTTCCATTCTTCATATTTGCATTATACCATCCATTATACATTATACAAGTCACGGCAACCATGCAATCAAGTTTGTCATTGTTGCCTGATAAAAGATCGCATACGTACAGTTAAATTTAAGTTATGTATGTTGATAAAGTGTACATGTTATAAAAGAATCGGGATTATGAATTATGATGAATAAAGCAAAACTAACAATATAAACTAATATAATATATAATAGTTATTTAATATATAATATATAGTTATACTATATGAAAAGATATTATCTAATAGTTTTTTTCATAAATAATTCATTCCTATTACACGTCGTTAGTGTTAGTTCAGGTGTTAGCTTAGGTATTTCTGTTTCATTTAGACAAATGTCAACAAAGTATACCTACAACTCTCCATAGGTATATAGAGAAGTAAAACAGAGGTTTCACGTGGTCTAACTACGTAAATTGAAGTTATAAATTTTTTTAGTGAGGTTTCCCTCACGAACAAGAAGGAAGACAGACAGACATAGACACATAAGAGTACAGGCTAATTGGGTCGGTTTAAAAGAAGAAAAACACAGAACTACACTAGAACTCAGCTCCGACTAGGGAAACGACACCAGGGCGTAGGACCTAGGAGATAGGACTCAAGACCTAATTCAGCACCTGAAGCCCAGCACCGACTTGGACAGAGACGCCAGGACGGACCCAGAGCAGCACGACGGAGGGACTTCCGAGGGTGTCCTAACAACTGTAGAAGCACCTAAGTAGGATAATAATATCTGCGTACGTAAAGGATTGTAAGCCAGATGGATACACAATTTACATAATAGAGAAGCTAAATGTGTGCCGTAGATAACGTTGCAGACAGGCAGGACCCTCTCCCTAGGGAGAAGACAACGAGAGGGGCTCCAAAGAGGGTAAAAAGGGAAATTTGACACCCAAAGAGAACTTCAAAAAGGACATGCTACACTCCCAGATTCCTGTCTCCCACAGCAAAAGAAGAGTATGACTATAAGACTTGTTTGACGACAACATAATCGACATTTTACAGAAATGACATCCCATAAAAATAATAAACATGTCGTGAAACCGAGCTGTTTTTAGCAAATATTTACACGATATATTTATTTTGAACTAACTAAACTAAACTTTCCCACAGTTCCAAGGTATAATCCTGGTTATTAAAGTGGTATATGACATACATTTATTAGAGATTATTAAAAAGTTTACGACGAAAGGTAAAAATACGTCTACTATGACAATAAATAACAAGTAGGAGAAGATATCTCGTTTCAGAACTAAAGGAGGTCAGACGGAAACTACAATAAGGTA